AAAAGAAATTTAACAAGTTAAAGCAGTAACCTCTGTGGGACAGGAAACATAGTATTTATCATTTTTGCTTATCTGATGAAAATGCCACAGTCACTTTTAGCTATGACATGGCCAGTAGAACGGCATATTTAAATGGCGTGTGGGCTTTCTCAAAGTCAAAATTGATATTTCCCTTTTTTTCTAGCTCTACATCTTGTTGTTAAGTCCTTATACTGAGCTTCTACTCCATAGACATGTTTGAAGATGCTCTGGGCAAGGAGTTGGCCCTTCCAGACCTTTTAATAGAAGGCCTTAACTGGAAGAAGACTGGCAGCAATTCAGCATTTCCATGTTTTACTTTCTGACTGACTGTGCATAAGGAGCTATTGGCCTGGGCACTAGGCTACAGCATCAGATCTGATTGAAGCAGAGATTTCAGTAAAGAAGAATTTATCACTTAGAACAAACAGGCTGTCCTCCTTTAAGGGCATGTGGGCAAAGGCACACTTGATTGAAAGGCCTTCTTGTTCCAATAATACTGAATATTTATATTTCTGAGCTAAAAAGACGAGCTAAAGATAAGACATGAAGAGTCTTGCTAGATCCAGCTACATGCCAAGTAGGCACAGTAAGTGATCATCTATCACTGTAGTATAGGTTCTATATTACAGGGATGTCAAGAGCTTGAGAGTTCCCTAGGCCCCCCACAGGCCAGCAAATACCTAAAATTGCCCATTTAGGGATCTCTTTCCAGTAAATTAAAGCTGTAAAGTATAGAGTCTCTTTCCGCCCCCCAATTGGAATAATCTTTAAATTATTCACAGACAATTTCTCATTAAAGTATGTCTAGGATTTTCCCTGAGAACAGGTTTTTAAGAGCTCAGGGCTCTCTTTTAAAAATATTTTTGACTGTTCCTTTTGTTACCCATCAAAGCCCTTATCACACATCATTCTAAAGTACATGTTTACTCACTCGTTTATCATATTAGACAATAAGCTCTGCAAAGGCATGGACCTTGTTTATCTTCAAAACAGGTTTATCTCAGGGCTGAGCACATTGTCCGGCACTTGATAAAACCTCAGTATTTCTTGTGTAGAAGTGAAGTTCATTAGACTGAATTGTGAAAGAGGTTGTTTCTTGAAGATATTTTTTCTTCCTTTAGTGAAGGAAGAAAAAAAACAGAGCACCATTACTAAAGACAAACTTCATGTACTAAAAGTCATTAAAAGGCTGACTGACTTTGACCTTACTTAATGATCCATCTAGTTTTCAAATAAGATAATGGATTCAGTGACTTTTCCAAAGCCACACTGATACTAATTGGCCGAATCAGATGAGGAGCCAGATCTTCACACCAATAGTCAGACATTTATTACACCACAGTTGGTCCTTCTATTTTAAGGCATTGCAGTTGGAAGAATGTGGAAGCACTTGTCAGGGACTTTGGCACACACACCCAATCTGATAAACATAGGCTTGTTCATCATCTACTTTTATGACGATTTTACCAACAAATGCTTTCTAAACTGTAAATGTCCTCTGTCACTTGAACAATAGTTCCTTTGGCTGAAAAGAAGGTTGCTGGGTTTTCCTATCTGAAAACTGGTGTCTGAAACAAGGAGCCTTTCTTGGGGAATATTCTTAGAGGATTATGACATCTCTGATACTGTTTAGGTGGCAGGCCTCTTATTTCCTTCCTTCTCTTTCTGTCTCCTTGTTGTTGGCATTGACCTGGCATGGTGGGTAGCCATCTGTTAATAATCTCATTTACATGGGTCAGTTTTGCTTAATTTACTACCTTTAACTTAGTTGAAATGTACTTAATAGTGCCATACCTCCTTCTCTATAAAGAACAATGTTGAATTCATAAATAAATAAACTGGAGAGCTTCGGCAAAGTTTTAAATTCTAGTAAGCAAGCAATGTGCTATCAACCATAGCAATCTGTCATTACAGGATGGCAGACAAGAACAGTTGAAAAATATAAAGTGGGTTTTAAAAATCCTGTTTGTTAAAAGCAAACATATCTGCAAATCAAAAGGTAAAACTGTACATATGCATTGCTAAAGTTGTTTCTCACAGGAGAACAGGTTCACAATTCTGATTCCGCTATACACATATACTGGAACTAGACATTTAAGTAAATGGATAGCAGATGGTAGATGCTGCATTTCTTCTGTGCAAGTGACAGTTTACAGATGGGCAGCAGCAGGAGGCTAAAATAATCCACTAGGAGTGAATTAGAGTTGGAGATATCAGTCTGAACTCATGTTTAGCTTCACATAGATACATATGGCTACATATAGAAAAGTTTGTAGATATGTGTATATACATGCTTTAGGATACTCACATATATTTCCTTGTTCTGTAAGCTGAGAGGGCCTAAATAAAACAACTCTCCAGTAGGAACAAGTACAGAGCACCTGGTTCTTCATTTCTGTAATTATCCAATAAAAACAAAAAACTAAAACACAAGACTTCTTGGAGAAATCTCAGAAATGACTGATTCTAGGACTGGGGGATGAAATATACAGATAATCCTGAAAGATGATGTAGTACAAAAAGAAGGTGTCTAAATAGCAACAACAACATACACACACAAAACAACAACAATAAACCTCATAAAACAAACTACGTTGACGGGAATGTTGCAAAGAGGCACCAACATCAATTGACAGAGTTTACAATGGCCAAAACTAGGACTATATCAGCAACAAAATTCATGAAATAGCATTGAATTCTAAACCCAAATATGAAATAAGTGATCTATATTAATTCATGATCTATATTGATATAAATCTATGATTGAATGGTGAAGAGACAAATCTCCCATTCAGAAGAATTCAAAATAAATTATATAGATACTCCACTCTAAAAGAGGGGTATTATAACTTCCGACTCTTTAAGCGTGTGCTACACAGGCTGGCTTTGTTACAGATTGCCATGAGGGTGGAGGAAAATGAGGAACTTTACAGTGGAGAAACATAAGAAACACTACCTTAGCCAGGTTATCAAAGTCAAGATCACATTGATAGCACAAACTCTTGATACGTGATGAAAATTGTACTTTATCTCTGTGTGTTTCTTCCAAAAACATATAACCCATGATTAATTAGGAAAACATGAGACAAATTTCCATAAAGCAGCATCCTACAAAATTCCTGACCAGTACTCCTGAAACCGTCAACGATATCAAAATCAAGGAACATAAAGAACTCTTCGGCCAATAGGAACCTAAGGAGATATGGAGATTAAATGTAGTGCTTAATTCAGGCCATCTAGAATAAGATCTTGGAAGAGCGAAAGGACATTAGGTAACAACTAAGGAAATCGAATAAAGTATAGATTTAGTTAATAATCATGTATTAACATTGGGTCATTAATTGTAACTAATGTTCCAATGCAAAATGTCCATAATAGAGAAAACTGGGTGTGCAATAAAGGGAAGTACCTGGGAATAGTATTGTCTTAAGGTCTCTGTAAATTCAAAACTATTCTTTAAAAAGTTTATTTTAAAAAGCAAATATAGCCGGGTGCGGTGGCTCAAGCCTGTAATCCCAGCACTTTGGGAGGCCGAGACGAGTGGATCACGAGGTCAAGAGATCAAGACCATCCTAGTCAACATGGTGAAACCCCGTCTCTACTAAAACTACAAAAAATTAGCTGGGCATGGTGGCGCGTGCCTGGAGTCCCAGCTACTCAGGAGGCTGAGGCAGGAGAATTGCCTGAACCCAGGAGGCGGAGGTTGCGGTGAGCCGAGATCGGGCCATTGCACTCCAGCCTGGGTAACAAGAGCGAAACTCCGTTCAGGGAAAAAAAAAAAAAAAAAAAGCAAATATAGCCTTTGTTTCCATTTAATGTGAGCATGTTTGTGTTGGCATTTATGCTTTCTCAAGTCTTCTCATTTTTATTGTTTATTAATTAAGATTTAATCTGTTGTTGTTGCCTTCAAGTATTTGAAAGTCTACCACGTGAAAGGGGAATAAACATTTTCTGCTTTAGAGGGCAGCACCAGGACCATACAAAAACCAGCAACAAGGCAGATATACCAGCTCCCTAAAATGGAAAAGGCTGACTCACAAAGTAGTGAACTTTCTGTCCATTTAGGCAGAGACTGACACCATCCATCAAGTATGCTTTAAGGAAGATTTTTTTTTTCCACTGGGTGGTCAGTTGGAATGGAAAACCTCAAAGATTCTTCCAACTCTTTTCTAAATATCTGTGGAAAGTTGACCAATTCTCTGTGTAGCTGCCCAATTCTCTGTGTAGTTAACTACACAGTTCTCTGTGTAGCTAATGTGAATCTGTACTCACAGCCAAGACTTTCAGCAGAGAATGTCTGTCTGTTGACCACAATTCTAAGTTTAGCTGATTGCTCAAAACCCACCAGCTGTACTACACATCCAGTAAAGGGAAGTAAATTAGCCTACTAAGCTATGCCTTTTTGAGCTATGCCACTTGATAGGTGTTATGTTCCCTCCTTGAAGTCTTAAGGAGTTATATGATACAATTCAGGGCTTTAGTAATGTTATGATTATCTTATGACATCAATTCTAGAGCCTTGCAAATCTAATGCCACAATCCCACGGCTTGGCTCAAATACTCGATAGTTAGGATGGGAGTGATTGCTGGTGAAGTGAGACTGTAAATCCGAGTGAGTGAGGTTAGACGGGTGGGTGCATGTGTGGAAAGAGAGTTTTATATTTCAATCTCATTTTCTGAGCCTGGCTTTCCCTTTTAAAGATAGAAACTGGAAAATTCTACTGACGAAAGGGTAAAGCAATACCTTTTCGGTGTCAGTTTCCTTTCTAAAGGGAACTCATATATTTGGGCCTCTTCCCAGATACAATACTGAAATCTCTTGGTTTTTCCCATACCACGCTCCACTTCATTAAAAGGGACATGAAAAGGTTTTCTTGATCAACTAGTGTTTATCAAATGTTTTTGCTTCACAACACACCTAGACTATTATTGTCCTTCTGTGCCCACACTGGCGTGAACTAGAAAAGGTGCTGGAAAAGAGGAACTTCACTGATTTCTAGCTCACCTGACTGCAACCTATCATACAAATGTTGGAAGGCTAATATCTCAGCCTGTCTGGTAGGAAGATCATTTCTTTAACAAACCAAAATACTTATTTTGTATTATAAAAATATTTATATTCATCTTAGGAGCTTGAACCTTACAAAATGGCCATTTATAGTCAGTTAACAGCAACTTCTTATGGTTCATAGTAACAGAAAATATGAATCTCTAGAAAAGCACAAAGAAAAAAGTAAAAAAAAAAAAAAGAGTCTCATCTCTATAGCTAAGCGATCATATATTTTACATTTTACTCTATGTTACATCAATACATTGAGTTTCCCCTACTCTTACACACATACATGTACTTGACATTATTTAAATCATGTCACAGTACATGATTTTTGTGACCTGTCTCTTTCTGTTAATATTTAATAAGAACCTTTTTCCATGTCATTCAGTATTCTATAATACAAGTTTCAATGATTGTTATATCCAGTCATACGGATAAGCAAGTTAATTTAATTTAAGCAACTTCCTATGATCAAATATTTGCCAGTATTTTGCTATTTAAACTTATGCTGCTATAAACATAAGGGAAACTTCTGCATACAACTCCAGTTACACTCCGGGTGTTTCTGGATCAAAGTACATGCACACGTTCAGACTTTTTAAACTTTTTTCAGGCTGGATTTCACTCCGTTACATGGGCTGGAGTGTAGTGGTGCGATTATAACTTACAGCAGCCGTGACTGGCTGGGCTCAAGCAATCCTCTTGCCTCAGCCTCCTGAGTAGCTGGGAGGGACCACAAGCACCCACTACCATGCCTGGGTCAATTTTTTTTTATTTGTAGAGACAAGGAGTTATGTTTGGCATTTATTGTGACCTTTCCACTAGAATCTGAGGGATTAAAACACCTCAGCAGCCTGCTTAGTGCTATGCCTTTCCCCTCAAAAATCCCAGTCCATTGCAGACATAGATTGTGGCAGCTGCAAACAGACAATGACCTGAGTCTTCATTCTAAGAAGAGTTCTTTGTTTGAAATTATACATCTTCAGCCCCTAATTAAATTTCTCATCTAATAATGAAGTCAGGCAGAGGACACAGCAAGTGAGTGACAGTCCACTCCTTAGAAGCAAATGCATTACCCCGCGTCAGCTGCTACCCATGTTAGAGAGATCCTTGCTAAGTTAGAACAGATGCTAGGAAGCCCATGGCTTCTAATGGAATGGGGCAGTGGTTAAAATTAGACAAAGATATAGCTTATTTAAATGTTAAGGAAATAAGAAATTCTTAAAGACAAAAAGAAAAAGAAAAACCTACTCACCTAAAACGTCTGGTTTTTTCCACCCCAGGGGCCATTACTTGGCTAACATGTAAAGAACATAAAAACAGTCTTCAAGAAAAGGATACATTTAAAAAAAAATTATTAAACCTATCTAATGATAAAATAGGCTTATTTATGAAATAATGGTTTTTCCAGAGTGTTCAGGCAAACTGATTACCCCCAGTTTGAAACAGTCACATTAAACATAGTTACATTATTAACACTAATTATAGAAATTTAGAATTGGTTTTGCCCATTTGCCTCTACTACTAGCCAATGAGTTTTATTGCTAACTAATACTCATCAATATTATATAGGGAATGGATAATATGATTTCAGGGCTTCTGAGTGAGCCTCTTAATGTCCAAAATACTCCTCCACAATTAGAAATTGATTTTTTTTATTTAAAATTGTAATACCTCTGGATAGCAATAGATCATTTCATTTATAATTCAAAGTGAATGAGTTATAAAACCCTTTTCTGGGAGAGAAGTATGACACGAAGTGGAGAAACTGGGTACCTTTGGGCAAAGTATGAAAAAAGAAAAAAGTTGAGGCATAGGGTGCTGAAGACAAAATTTTCTGACTACATATGTTGTTGTTCTTTTAATATTTATTATTATTGTTTTATTGAGGGTCATTTTTAGATGCAACTGATGTTCTGAGTGATTTAAAGCTGTTCTTTATTTTTAAAAGCCCTAGCTTAGCCAATATGATATGAAGGTCATTCATTAAGCTCTGCCAAACTCTTTCACTTGTAAAAAGTTCAAATAAAACTGTTTTATTAAAATAGCAGAAGTAAAAGCAAGGAGGAAGAAAGGATGGAACACAGGGTGTGGTTGGGATCCAAATGTTCCTGGCATTGGTGGAGTGAACTTCTTTGAAACCAAGTATTTAGGCTTGCCAGTTGGTCTAAATACAGTCACATTCTCTCCCTCACTTGCAACTAAATATCATTCATTCTTTCAGTCATTCACTTAATGAATATATATGGTGGGCACCAAATTTATGTGTCAAGTTGCCAAATCCTACTGTGGGCTCTTGGGCTACAGCAGTGAACCAATTAGATAAAACCTCCTTGGCTTCATGCAATTTACATTAGAGTTGGATGTCCCTTGGAAAAATAGGATTAAACCCCAGATGGCTGTAATTGTGGCAACAACAGAAGAGGTTTTTAGTTTAATCCTACAGCAATCTGAATTTAATAAATCTAGTAAAATCCTAACTAGCAAAGCAAATGCCAGTCTGTCCCAGAATTATTCTTCAATGTGGGAGAAATGTATTCCTATTAAAGCCCTCTCTCAAAAAAAGGCTCCCGTATTTAAGTGGAAAATGTGAACTATCACAAAATTTAGCCAAAATTAGCTTCTTGTAGTCTGAAAACTTTTCAGCCAAGCAAACTGCATAATCCAAATACAACCATTTTTTTTTTGCATTCTTTCCTAAAAATCTAACATACATGCTGCCAATGTGTATGCTGCCAACGTCGTCAATGCACTTTGCTGTAAGAGATTAAAGATTGGCTACAAATAATTTTCAATGAATAACTCTAATTAGCCGCTAAAGTTGGCATATTTCCTGCAATCTGAAATTAGATCTCAGAGTTGAGTTGACATGAAAAAGCCCTATTAACTCTCTAGGCTTCCAATTCCTATTTGCTGGGGAAATTAGAGTTTTGAATTTTATTGGCCACTAATCTGAAGAAGTGGTAATCTGACTACAGTCAGCGGTAATAAAAAGATATGTGGAACTGGACTTCCAGTTTCCTTCTATTCCACTGGAGGGACTTTCTGAAATCAACCCATAAAAGCAATATACCTGGGATATATTTCAGTGGATTTTTAAGAATAAAAGAAAAAAAAAACTATTTTGAAATGCTAAAAACACAAAACTTTAAAATTATTCATATAATCCTCGTTAACGAAAAGAACTGTTTTGATCTAATGCTATCCACTGATAGATGCATGAATATTTCTTAGCCCCAGTTTTGAATCCTTTCTACGAGAGGTTTATCTCTTCATGTGCCCCTGTTGTGGAGTCTGGGAAATAGTGCACATGCTTCTATTAGGTAAGTGGCTGGGAACGGCTGTTTAATAACATCTAATGCCATCGTCCAGCAGCACAAGACTGCGCCTTTTCACAGCTGTGCCATTTCAAGGCAGCATGTGTGCTTCATCACTGACTCTTGCATTATAAATAAGGCCTGAGGTGGATCCTCCTGTTTGAGAGTCCTGTGTGCTGTCATCAGCTGCTGTAGGGCCGATCTGCTGATAGTTAACACACCAGATGTCTGGTACAGCCACGTACACTTTTGGAGCTTCATTTGGATACGATTAATCATTCTCCTTCACTGATTTCAGTGGAACAACAAAAAAGATGGAACAAAGGGGATGAGATGAGGCATAGAAAATCAGTGCAAGAATTCTGAAATAGAGAATATATTTCACTAAAATAATAACTTCTTAACTGTTGGAATAATTTGTATTTTACTAAAAGTCTTCTGTCAGAAATACTTTCAATACTCTATAAATAACTTTTCACTTAAGAAGGTATTTGATAATAAATCTTTCCAGGGGGAACAGGGTAACTTCAAAAGTGTACACACCAAGATTGGTGTCTGGTCACTGATGGCTTTTTAAATTAAGAAGATGGTATCGTTTTTGTAGTTTACTTTCCATAAAATTATCTTTAAATTATAAAACCTAAAGTGCAATAAAAATTTACTGTATAAATACTGAAAGTTTACAGTTTTGATTTTTTAAGTCACTATTTATAACAGTGATAAAATAATTAACTATATTTGCTTTGACATTTTTTGTGTGTATCAGATTTTTTTAAAGGCTTAGTAATTCTTTGAATATAAATGGTGCTTTTCCTATACATTTACAACTGTTCTCTGAATATTTGGATATTTTTAAAAATATATTTTTCTAAGGCAGATAATTGACAAGTTTTATTCCTTAACACAGGAGAAAGTTGAAGTACCAAAAAAAGAAGCTAATCCTTTTTTATAATTTAGTAATATAGACATATTAGTTCTATTTACTTCCTAAATAAAAATATTAATGAACAGGTACAAGTTGAGTATTTTAAAGTTGTCAGCACAGGTTAAAATGTAGAACTGAGTTTCAAACCTATAATTTATGCTATTTTTTTCTGAACATGAGAAGACAATTTTGTTATTTAAATGAAATTTATAAAGATATATACGCTTTAGGAGGCCGAGGCGGGTGGATCACGAGGTCAAGAGATCGAGACCATCCTGGTCAACATGGTGAAACCCCGTCTCTACTAAAAATACAAAAAATTAGCTGGGCATGGTGGCGCGTGCCTGTAGTCCCAGCTACTCAGGAGGCTGAGGCAGGAGAACTGCCTGAACCCAGGAGGCAGAGGTTGCGGTGAGCCAATCGCGCCACTGCACTCCAGCCTGGGTAACAAGAACGAAACTCCGTCTCAAAAAAAAAAAAAAAAAAAAAAAAGATATATACGTAGAGAAAGAGAATATAAAAAGGTTCAAGCTGAATTTAAAAATAGATATATATATATAGGGAAGACTTTCTAACAGATATCTTAATAGTGTTTCAGGAAAAGCAAATAAGTTATAACCAGTTTGGATGGTGTTACTAGTCACGGTTCTTCCGTAAAACAGAACCAGTTTGTGTGTGTGTGTGTGTGTGTGTGTGTGTGTGTGTGTGTGTGTGTGTGTGTATTATACAAATATATTTTTGTATCTTTGTATAAATATATATT